AAATAAAAACACAGTAAAAGCAATAAAAGGACTACATCACATAAGCAAGCAAGTCTATAAAAATCTGTTTTAAGAAGTGATTTAAAAGAAGTTAGTGATTCTGCTAGCCTTATCTCCTCTGGAAGGTTGTTCCAAAGTCGAGGGACCCTGATGGAAAAAGGACGGTCACCTTTAAATTTAAGCCTCGACTTTGGAACAGCCAAGAGGGCCTGACCTAAGGATCTAAGGCTGTATACTGGCTCGTATGGGGTTAATAACTCTGCTTTAAAAGTGATCAGTAAAAACTGAAGAATGGACAGGGAGCCAATGAAGAGAAGCGACAACTGGGGTGATGTGATATTGTCTGTTAAAACCAATGAGCCTAGCCGTTGTATTCTGAAGTAGTTGGAAGCAGGAGAGTGATTTCTGGTTTTTGCCAGAGAGGAGGGAGTTGCTATCGTCCAGTTTTGAGAAAATTAATGTGTAAACTATTTTTACAAGATCAGGTTGTGAGTTGATGGGTTTGATTTTGGAGATGGATCTTATTCGGGGAAGCAGGACAACTTTTTTGATGTGGTGGTCGAAGGTAAGGCGTGGATCAAACAGTACTCCGATCTGATGGGGTTTGGTGGATTAAACAGAATTATTTCTGATTTTGAATTGTTGAATTGTAAGAAATTTTGTGCCATCCAACAGTAAACATTGTGCCATTGGGTAACCTGGCCGAGTGGAAGGATGTAAATTGAGAATAAAATTGGACCTAAAATTAAACTTTGCGGTACACCACAGGTAATGCGAGTTGTGGAGGATGTATGATTACCTATGGTGACCAAATAAGTTCTGTCTAAAAGGTAGGATTAAAACCAACTAAGTGCTAAGTGTCCTTAACACCAAACCAGCTTTTCAGGTGATTAATTAAAATGGTATGGTCTACTGGTTGCACTTAGGTCTGGTTGCACTGGTTGCACTTAGGTCTAAAAGAATTAAAATTGCGCTCTCTCCTCAGTCAGCTGCTAAAAGCAGGTCATTTGTTACCTTTAGGAGTACAGTTTCTGTGCTGTGTAAAGCTCTAAAACGGGACTGAAATTGAAGATGTCATTTTGACACATAAAAGCTGAAAAGTTGGGTTGAAACCACTTTCTAAGACTTTTCATAACAACGGAAGTTTAGAAATTGCCTTAAAATTGTTAAGAACAGAGGGGTTTTTTTTTTGAAAGAGGTTGGACCACAGCGTGTTTAAAATTGAATGGAAAGATTCCTTCTGCTAGAGAACTGTTGATGATTGATAAAATACTGGGCCCAACTGTGTCAATGACATCTTTGAGAAATCTAGTCAAGACTACACGTAGTTGATTTCATTTCAGAAATCGTTTTGGGCAAAACAAAGGGCAAGAAACGAGTTCAAAATGGTTAAAATAACTACTGATGTCCATACTGGTTTCTAAAACAGGGTCAGGTGGGGTAATTTGTTGCCTTATGTTGATGACTCTATTTATAAAACATCTAAAAACTTCTCACACATTTCTTGAGAGGCATTTGTAAAATGGCTAGGGGAGGGGGAGGTGACGGAGTCGATAACTTGATTAAAAAAGTCTGGGATTAGAGTGGTTTGCTAAAATTAGATTACAAAAAAAAGATGTTCTTGCTTCTTTAATTGACTTTTGGTAGTTCTTCATTGCATCTTTCCAGATTTCATAAAATACATGTATATGGGTTTTTTTCAATTCTCTTTCTTTCTCCTGCAGTCTCTCTTTAGTTCTTGGGTGGATTCATTTTTACCAGGGTTGAGGTGTTATACTGGATTATTTGACTTTGTTTAGGGAAATAGAGTCCAGGATAGTCTGACTGGTGTTGATTAAAATAGGAGACCAGCTCCTCTGTGTGACAATTCAGATCAAAAGCAGTTAAAGAAGCAGCAGTAAAAACCTCTTGCATGCAGACATGGGGTAAAAACGTGACAGCAGATGGGTGAACTGTGATTGAAAGGTATTTGGGATAAAATCACAATGAGTAAAATTGCTTTATGGTCTGACACACAACTATCCTTAAACTGGACCTCAGTCTTCATGGTTACAGTAATGAACATATGGACTGTACCGAAAGTGACGTACCTTTGTCTCCATGGTTACTATAATAACAGTCATGGTTTGGTTAGATTTAGGAAAATATGCTGATTTGGGTTAAAATAAGTATTTCCTCTATATTAGACCACCTTTGTTGTCATGGTTACAATAATGACAACGTGGTTAACTTTGTTGAATGGTTATGGATAATAGAAACAACATAAACTGCTGGTTTCACATGGGAAAACACTGCTAAACTCTGCTCTCCTGTGTGTCATATTCATCCATCCACAACAACCTCCTCCTGACCAGGATTTTGTCTTTCTTTATACTACGTCACTGCACTTTTCCCTTTGCTCTTGTCATAATTACTAGAACCACTAGATGTTGCCTTGCAACAAAACCTAACTATGGGTCATAATCTGCTGCACAGATGACCTAGTGACTCATTTTTTACAGGACAATCTTGAATGGTCTTGTGCTGTGTGTTTTGAGGTGTGTTAATGGACAGAGGTTGTTTCTGATACGGAGCTTGAACGCTCGTCTGGACAGAGATCCTGTTCGTTCAAAATGTCGAGTGAAATCATCAAGTGAAAATGTATCAGTGTAGACAAAGCTTTATTCGGCCCTAAAGTGTCTTGTTAGTTTAATTAAAGTTTTTGAAAGATGCTGTGACAGAGGAAATAAATTCATGATAATCACTGTCAAACTGCCAAGCTATGACAGATGATGATCCTGCGACATGTCTGACTTTGTTTTAATAAACTGATACTTGTATCATTTAACCCAGAAACATTTCCTCTTCCTTTCATGAGTGTAAATGATGTGGTGCTGCATCCTGGACTCATTCCAGTCCAGTCCCAGTGGAAGAGGCCCAGCAGATAAAATAAACTCAGTTTCCAGTAACATTCCCAGTAACTCCTTCAACAGAGTGTGTCCCTCTTTCTCTGACCTACATACTCTGGTCCAGACCAAACTTGTGTGCTTCGCTGGGACTCTAGTTTAAAATAAACACAGACTCTGCCAGCTCTCTGACTCCCCATCCCAGACTCGATGCGGCATCATCTATCAGCCCTCTGTCTGTCTCCTCTGCATCTTCTTCATGTATGCCAACCATTGTCTCAGGGCATCTTGTTTTTCTGTCTGTTTATTTCCTCTAACTCCAAGTCATCAATCTGTTTCCAAGCAACTGTAATCCTCTATATCCACCATGAGTACACTTGTATCTGCTCTGAAGTCACACACTGCAACACTTTTCACACCAAGGGTGATTTGGGGTTCAAAGACACAACGACATGCGGACTGAAGGAGCCAGGGATTGAAACACCGACCTTCAGATTAATGGATGACCTGCTCTGCCTACTGAACCTTCCTGAGGCTCCTGTTTCTTTTCCAGTAAAAAATTAATTGGAAAAGTATTTTTTTGTGTTTCAGATTTAAACTTTATTATTAAGTTTACTAACGTGTCTTGCCCTCCTCATACTAAGTGGATTTTACTCACCCAGAGGCAGGGGTGGACAGTAACACTATTGTACTAAACCTGGCTTTTACTCCACTACACTTAATAGACAAATATTGTACTTTTTACCGGAAAGGGGCAGAGAAGAGCCTACAGCAGCACATGTCTCATCTTATCTCACTGCCCTGCAGAACAGAGGTTCAGAAGATCCTTTCCCACTGCCATCAGGCTGTAGAACCCCTCAGCCAAAGGAAGTGGACTAATTTAATAATTATTGTTTATTATTTATTATCAACTATTACTATTATTATTACTAATGAGCTACTTGACATAAATTTCCCCTAGGGGATAAATATCTATCTATCTATCTATCTATCTATCTATCTATCTATCTATCTATCTATCTATCTATCTATCTATCTATCTATCTATCTATCTGTAAATGTGGAACAATACAACAAAAATGTACTTTTAAATACTTCAGTATTTTTTAAATCAAGTACTCCAGTACTGTAACTCGTAAAGACTTTCACTTGTATTGGAGTCATATCTGACCAGGAGGATCTGTACTCTGTCTTCCTCTGCACAGAGGCTGCGGAATGCTATATCAGAGACTGTACTCCTGTAAAAAACAAGCCCATAGGTCATCTGTGCAGCAAGGTTTTATGACCCATAGTTAGGTTTTGTTGTTAGTTGACATCTAGTGGTCATAGTAAATATGACAGCAGCAAAGGGAAAAGTGTGGTGACTTAGAATAAAGAGAGACAAAGTCCACGTCAGGAGGAGATTGTGGTGGATGGATAAATATGACACAGGAGAGCAGTGTTCGATTCCTATGTCAAACCAGCAGTTTATTTAGTTTCTATTATCCATGACCGCTCAACAAAGTTAAGATCGTCTAATGTAGAGGAAGTACTTATTTTGACCCAAATCAGCATCTTTTCCTAAACCTAACCAAGCAATGTTATTAAAGTAACCATGGCGATGAAGGTAGGTATGCTGCTGTTGGTACAGTCAATGTATTGTAACCATGACAACCAAGGTCCGGTACGCCTGCTGCTGTAGGTCCAGGTTAGACAAGTCGTTGCTAAGTTAGCGTTTTTAATAATGGACTGTCATGTTCTGATTCCACAGGGTCAAAGGATTAAGTTCTGTACCTGTCAGGTTTGGAGTCCCTGCACCAGAGGTGTTCACACATGCTCCCTCCACCTCAGCCTTTACAAGCATGTTAAACACTTCACCTTGTGAGTCAGTGCACGTCTCTGGCTCAGACTCGCAGATGGAACTCTCCTTGATGTTCTCACAGGAACATCAGGACCTCTGCTGGCCTTGAAGCCAGTTCCACATTCCCTCCATGGAGATCACCACTTACTCTGATTAGCCTCGCCTCTCTTTTACAAAGCAGCAAATAACTGATGATGCCATGACTCATGAGCATGTCATGTTTACCTCTCTTCAGGTGAGTAGGAAAAAAATGACAAGAGAGAAGGAATACTCACTGATTACGTTCCACTTGTAGCACCAGGTGGAGGTTACTTGATGACAGCACGATCTCCCCTCTGACCGGATGCACTACCTGTAAGGTCAGGAGGAGACATCAGGTTATAACACTACATTTAGTGCAGGTTCATCCAGAAACTAAGTGGCAAATAAATATATTTCACATATATATTCAAAAGCCTCTTAAAGAGCTGTTTCTTAAAATGTAGCTATAGATTTGTCCATCCATGTTCAAACTGTAGCATCAGAATCAGAACCAGGTTTATCACCCAGTAAGTTTTCACATACAGGGAATTTGCTTTGGTGTTTTGGTTCATAACAATGAACATAGTAAGAAGAATATGCAGAAAGATCAAGCAAAGCAAGCAATGCAGATCAGATAGCTTAAATATACATAGAAAAATTTAACAATTAAATATTTACAATGAAAATGTGAAAAAAAGTATTATAAAAATATAAATATACTATAATAATACAAATATGTACAACAAATATTTACATATATGGAAATTTATTTGAAGTAGTTCATGTGTATTCAAATGTTTTAAACACAGTAAATGAGGCGATAGCATGTAGAGACAAACAAACCAATTACACACTGCAGTGCTCACTATAGGCTACACTATGAATGATCTCTGCAGTCATGCTAGCAACTGTTAGCTAAATGCTAAATGATGTTGATAATACTAAATGACAATGATGTTCAACAGGTATAATAGTAAATGATTTTCTAGTCTAGTCCACCACTCAAAGCCCCATTCACCCAATCAAAGAGCTTTCTCAATAGATTCAGAAAGTTTCTATCACACACACATCACATACACCAGGAGCAATTTGGGGTTGAATCATGGGGTCAAAATGAACCAGTGACCTTTGCTCCACCTCCTGAGCCACAGCCACCCCCTGTTTAATTCAGCAGGGTTAGAGTTGAAGGAAAACTTAAGGAATTACCAAAGCAAAGCCACAACTAACAATTGTCATTTTGTTTCTCTGTTAAACTATTTCAATAACCGTCAGTTAATATTTGATACCTGTCAGTTAATATTCGATAAGATGATTAACTAACAGACTAAAAAAATGTTCAGGTAACACATTTATAATACGGAGAACAGAAGAAAATCCTCAAATCTTTGGTGTTTTATTACCTTGATAAATCACTTGAAATCATTTATCAAGTAATTTGATTAATTGATGGTTGGCAATCATTGTCAGTAGGATACATTGTCTTGTGAACAATGAATATCTCTACCTATTTTTCTGTTGAGTCATCATTTAATTGTTGTTGGTGGCGCTGGAGTAAAAGTCAAGGATTCATCCTCTGGGATCCATGAATGTCTGTACATGTCATTTATGCCATTTTATTCTGATTTTATCATCACTGCTAACATTGCTAAAAAACAAAACTGGTGAGTAATTGAGCTGAAACTTTCTTGTGGAGATTGAGATTTTTATTGATCAACAGGCCATTTAAAACGCATGGCGTTTTTCCAGCAAATTTTATAACACTGTGGAATATACAAAGGGTTTACCCTCTGGGGGGCATGAATATGCTAAATGCAGCTCACATTTATAATTCTTTCATGCAAGTGGGACTTTTGATGTTGTCACTGGGGGAAAGGTCAGAAGGGTAATCAAAATCATTAGTATTCATCCTCTGGAGACCTTGAATACCCATCTATAAACTTCATGCTAATCTGCCAAGTAGCTGACAAGATAACAGCATCTGTTCTGGACCAAAACTCATCAACCAAGTAGCTTCCAGAACTGCGCTCACTTGTGAATCTGTACTACTGCAAAAAAACAGAATACAGTAAAAAATACTGAGAGAATTAGACAAACATGTTGAAAATGAAACATTAATGTTTAGTTTTCCTGTGGTTCTGAATCTGTTATATTAATATGTTTATCTAACCAACACTGACAGTAAAACAAAACAATATGGACATATACCTAATTTTAACTTGTCCTCATGGTTTTATTCTTGAGAAACATGTCCAAGCTAATTTTTTTATTTCTATCAACAAACCTCAATTTCATTTCTCTCTATTGGCAACCAACTTTGGAAACAATCTGAGGCCCAACAGTTTCAGGCGATATAATACTAATTCAGTGATCGGTTAACTGTGCAGAAAATACCTCCTTTAGGCAAATGAACAATCTTGGTATTATCACATTTTGATTCGATATAACACAGAAAAATCTTTTATCAGACAGATGAATATTGTGAAACACAGAAGAATCCAACTGAATTTCTAGTTTGTGTTGCTTATGTCTAAGTTTTGTTTTTATTGTTTTTTGCTGATTGAGTAACAACAATTCTGCAAAATAATACTGATCCAAAGAAAGCTGTGAAATCCCACAAACAAGAGAGAGGGTTGAAGAGGTTGAAGATTTTGATTGTTCTTCAGAAGCCTTTTGTGTTTATATGAAGAAGGCACAGTCTGCAGTGAAATTACACATCCCCAGGTAAAACTAGTTCTCTGCAAACCCAGAGCTAGTCTGTGTTGCATTCTTTTCCACAGACAGGGTTTGCTTCAAGGAAGACTGCTGCACTGCAGCTGACAAGATCTGAAACACCATAAACTCTTTACAAGCACTGTGAAATCATTACACTTGTCTCGACTGAGGGTATCCTTTGCCAAACATCTGAGAGAAGACAAGCAGCTGTGAGTTTCAGTCACAATGATCTGAAGAAACATTGAATGCCTGCTGGTCCTGCATACAGCCTGATAACATGCTAGGAGCTCAGAGTTTCTGATGCCACTATGAACATGTGGTCCATCAGTGAACATGCTGAACTGCACCTCCCGCACTATGGTTCCTGTCAGTCCAACAAGGAAGGGATGTCAATGATCTGATGTTTTGGGGGCATGGCTTTATTTACATGAACCTGTTTGTGCACAAACCAGTCCAGAATCCCAAGGTGTTACGTTTTTAAGTTATTTTAGTTTAGCCTAACCGAAACTGGACCTTAACTGCCATAAGCACCATCTTTTCCTCATCTTAATCATATTGTAGTCGCTATGCCCAAGATACTCAGTGGCAGTAGGTTTGGAAGATATTCAAAATGTAATCTTGATACAGTCCAGTTCAAGTATCGTGATATAGCATATTAACCTTTTTTTGATGGCTTTTTTTCTTTTTAATAATTATATTATTGTATTTTATGTTTCAGGTATAAGTGATGCTGCCACTAAACAGCAGTTCAAAGTTTTATTTGTCACATGACAAGGTTCAATGTAGAGTAAGCATAATAAAAAATTCACATATGGTGGTATTAATCATAATATTTGTTATTATCGAACATCGTCCTGAGTCTAAATGGCAGAGAATGTAAAAGCACAGTATGGGTCACACAGGGAGACTAATATACAGTAAGGACTAAACAACTAAAAAAGCTAAAGGTAAAACCCTGTAACCTAATGCAGTTTTTTTAAAAGTCTGGGTAAAGAAAAATAATTGCTATGAAGCAGGATTATGATAGAAGCTCCCCTCCATCCCTCAGGTCTTATTGCAGTCACTCCTCTATCTGTCTCTCATCTGTGAGCAAAGCTCAACACAAAACAATCCACTGTGAATTGAACACTATTTCTCCCCACATCATTAAATGTGTTGCTCCAACATCAAGTGACACATGTTCAGTAGGCACACTTTCACATCTTTTGCTTGATTTTCAACTGTTTAGTTGTGAAATTTCCCCAGCTACAGCTGAAAGATCTCAATTGGTCACGGCAGGGTCATAGTGGGTAAAGAGTGGGAAGTCTGTGTTTATGTGTTTACACCTATTTTTCACAGCCGACCTCAAAAATAGGTTAAAACATCCAGCTGTCAAAGCTTCCTCTTGGTTACATCCCACTTTCAAATTCAATCAACTTCCATGTCCTCAGATGGTAGATGGCATCCTCTTGACCCTGCCTTCAAGGTCATCCAGCTTATGGACGACTTAATCACTTTTGCTTTCAGTAGTTGGACAACTGTCATATGACCTAGTTGGTTGATTGTTTGAAGCATGGTGAGGACTTAAAGTAACTAAAATAATTTTTCTAAAATGTCTAAAAGTAATTAGGCCTATGTTCTTTATGTTTTTTAGTTGTGTTCTTACATTTTCCAAAATGTTTCAAGTTAGCATCAATCTCAGCTCCAACCCTTCCCTGATGTCTCTGTCCTCGGTACAGCGTCGGTGAAACACTGACTTTAAATGTGAAACTGCTTTATTCAGTGTTTTTTACTGTTAGAATCCACGGGTCTGTTTGATTTCCTGAACCACTGACACTGAAGGAATACAAACCGGGAGGAGCTTACGGTAATGGTGGTGAAAACAACAACTCCCATGAGCCCAAGCTATTTCATGATGTCACCCAATGCCATCTTTTATTATTGTTTTGATTGAGAGACCCCTAGAGGCAGAAGTTACAGACTGTGGATTTAAGGCAAATGTTCCCGCTATGCAGTCTCTTTGTCGAAGGTTGAAGGTTAAGAAACAATAGCTCTTCATCAGATCTCCATTTCTTTTCCACTCTACTGCCTTTCTTCAGACCTGCAAGCAGACATCTCAGGGTCATCTTTTCAAAAACGACTAACTAGGAGGCTATTGCTGCTTATTGAGTTTGTTGTGGGGTATCTGCACATTAATGATCAAACAGCTTCCACATCCTCACACTCCCACTGTCGCACTGGTCGATGGTTCACAGCAGCATTCAGGCTGCTTCTCCTGATTTCTCAAGGTTATGGTTACACAGCTTTAATCTTCATCCTGCAACCCCACTGGCTTAAACAGCAAATGTATAATGTAAAGCCGCATCAAGCATACGTACATTTTACTGTGTGTAGTGACATGTTTGATCATGTTTCAGTGTCAGTCAATTTAGGATGCGGTTGACTAAAAGAAATCCAGAGTGAGATGGGCTCGGAAATTAAGAGGGATGGAGAGTTTAAGACGTAACTTGCTAAGAAGTTAGAAAATTCCCATTCAAGAGGCCCGGCTGATGAAAAGGGACACTAACAGAGACAACAAGACACAGAAGGCAAGACAATGAAACACGAAAAGACAAATCCATGGCGAGAAACAACAGGAAA